TCATCCTGAAGCAAAGTTCTTAACCTGAAGCACTATTTCTGCATTAGCGGAGTCTGTAACCTGAAGCATATGTAACCTGAAGCGTATGTAACCTGAGGTACCACTATATCAGAAAAGTTAAAGCACTGTCTAAAGGCAGAGAGAAACGAGGCTGACCCGTAAGACTTTGAGGCTCTCTGCTGGTCATTCTAACCCATTTGATGAATGAATCTTACAAATCGCATATCCCAAAACGTTATGAACATAAGCAGAGCCTGGTGGACCAGACCAATGGCCCAACAAGTCCAGCATCCTGTTTTCACAGTGGCCAACCAGATGCCTTGTGGGAAACTCGCAAGCAAGACCCGAGCGCAAGAGCAACTCTCCCCTCCTGTAGTTTCAGGAATAATTCAGAAAGCATTGCTGCCTCCAACTGTGGAAGCAGCAACTGTGCAAGAAGGTAAAAGGTAAAGGTAAAGGACCCCATGACGTTTAAGTCCAGTCAAAGGCGACTTTCGGGTTGTGGCACTCATCTCGCTTTCAGGCCGAGGGATCTGGCGTTTGTCCACAGACAGCTTTCTGGGTCATGTGGCCAGCATGACTAAACCGCTTCTGGTGCAACGAGACACCGTGACGGAAGCCAGAGCGCATGGAAACGCCGTTTACCTTCCTGCCAGAGTGGTACCTATTTATCTACTTGCACTGGCATGCTTTCGAACTGCTAGGTTGGCAGGAGCTGGGACAGAGCAACAAGAAATGCATAATGCAACTGTGGAACTGTGCATTTTGCATTTCTGTGGAAATACTGGGATCCTGGTCCTCAATTTACCTACTAATACCATGCAAGTTTCAATTTCTACCCTAGCCCTTTTGCGTGTTTTGCTTTTTTCTTCTTTAGTGGATATGCTTCATACAACTTTTGTATTTATTTATTTACTTACTTACTTACTTACTTACTTACCATATGGAAACACTAGATATGGCTAGCTTCTGCTTTTGCAATCCCATTCTGTTAAAAAGCCGTAAAAAATAAATTGGGAAATAAAGCTTATTTGGGAGTGAGGTGGGTATGCTGTCCATGTATGGTGTGTATGCAGCCCAGGACTATTTTGTAGAAATACCCTTATCTTTCTAGATTCAGTATTCTAAGCATAGCAATTACGGGTTTCTTAATGATACCATCTGGGATGTGCCAATTGAGACATGTTGTGCAAATAATTTCAAAATGTAGAATTAGGGGCTTTAATTCACTTTACTTCTTGTTGGTTTTTTTACAGTGAGAATTTATTGTGCATTTTAAAGCAAGGCCATTTGGAAAGGTACCACAACAATCCAAACAAGTTTCCACCAAAATTATAGTTGCTGAGTCATTAAGCTTTGCCAAATTTATGGGTTCCCCAGCCCATGCCAGTTTAATGCAGTATTTGTAAAGAGACAGAGTTTTATGGACCGTACCCAATGAAATTTTGGAGTCAGCCATTTCCAGCTTGGTTTTAGGAAATAAGCAACCACGTTTTCCTCACATACAAGTAGCAGGAAAGTTTTGCTTTCAGTAAAATCCTGAGCAGCAGTAAGCTCAGTACAAAGGAAGGTACAGTTGTACCTTGGCTCTCAAATTTAATCCATTCCGGGAGTCCATTCGACTCCCGAAACGGTTCGAAAATCAAGGCCTGGCTTCCGGAAGCTGCGTCGAACATTTGGCTTCCAAAAAAAACTGCAAACCAGAACACTCACTTCCAGGTTTACAACGTTCGGGAGCTGATTTGTTCGACAACTAAGGTGTTCAAGCACCAAGGTACCACTGTATTTCTCTACACAGTGTAAGGTAAAGGTAAAGGGACCCCTGACCATTAGGTCCAGTCGTGGCCAACTCTCAGGTTGCGGCGCTCATCTCGCTTTATTAGTCATCTGGCCAGCATGACTAAGCTGCTTCTGGCAAACCAGAGCAGCGCACAGAAACGCCGTTTACCTTCCTGCCGGAGCAGTACCTATTTATCTACTTGCACTTTGATGTGCTTTCAAACTGCTAGGTTAGCAGGAGCAGGGACCGAGCAACGGGAGCTCACCCTGTTGCGGGGATTCAAACCGCCGACCTTCTGATCGGCAAGTCCTAGGCTCTGTGGTTTAACCCACAGCGCCACCCGCATCCCTTACACAGTGTAAAGTTAAACCCAAATTACAGGCCTCCAAGGAAATTGCAGCAAACACACAAGCTGTGTACAGTGGTCTGCTAGGCTCTCTTGACAATTATTTCTATGCTGCCTGCCTGGGACTGCAAAAACAAAACAGAACACAAAACCCACCAGGAAGCCTGTCAGGCCATAATACTTGAGGCTGACAGCCTGTGTTTGGTTTGGTGTGTTGCAAGGATGGCTCCACGACCAGGTGGAGTTAGATGGCCACTTCAGGAAGTAAGTAAGAATTTCCTGAAATTCCCCAACTGCCCTGAGGGGGTGGCAGGTCTGGTGGAAAACATTGTGCCACCACCTCTGTCAAAACATAGGCTCTTCTGGATGACCTGTCCATCGAGCATCTGTCCTGAGTTGTTTGTGGGGGATGTTGTGCCAAAAACAAGGCTTGTCCCGCCTTTTCCTGCTCACTTTCCTTATGGCAGAAAGTCCAATTTTTTAGGGAAGCAGGTCAGCGGCGCAAGGCCTGCCAGTCAACAATAACTGCGTGACTTGAACTTGCTGGTCTGTGATTGAAATCCCACTCCTAAAATAGCGACAGTCAGAAAGTGCCCTAAGATTCAACTCCCCTTCCAGCCAGGATCAGTACATGGAAAGAGAGAGAGAGGAGCCATCTCACCCCTTTGCCTCAGGCAGCAAAATGCCTTGGCCCGGATCGGATGCGTTCACACAATATGCATGCCTGTTTTATTGGCCATGCGGGAGAGAAAAGAACGGGGACAAAATCTCCTGGCTCAGGGAAATTGCCCGACATGTTGGAATTTGTACCCGGGGGTGGAACGACAAAAAGACGGGATTGTGTGGCGTACAATGCCCTCTTTGATTCCAAATGTCGCCCTGGAGGCTTCTGGGTAGATCAGCAATGTTCCACAGCCCCTTTCAGGTGGCGATGGTGGACCACAGCAAGGTTCTGCAGAAGGAACCTCCTACACTACAGATGGATGGGCGAGGGGTGTGGAGACAGGAACAAAGTCTTACAGAGAGCGGTCACACTGGGCCAGTCTCATGAGTCAGAGCCTTGCATATTCTTCCTTCCAAACAAGGGAGCTGTGTACACCTCCACTACCCCACGTAGGTCTGCCTCTCACACTCCAGGCCAGAGGAAGCATATGACATCCCTGGGCATCGCTCCAGGTCACCTTGTTTCTGCAGTGATTTAAGAGGGCCGGTCCTACCATTAGGGAGAGTGAACTCACTGGTGGCAATCTTCGCGGAGCTCTGGCCCAATGGTTGCCAGTGGCTTGATTTGAATTAATTTTATAATGAATGATTTTAGAGTGTTGTGTTGTACTTTTGTACTGTTTTATTGTTCGGCTTCGGGTGGGGAGGGCAGGATATAAATAAAATTTATTATTATTATTATTATTATTATTATTATTATTATTATTATTATTATTTCAAATGTCATGAAAAGATGGCAAACTATTAGTGGGTATTTTATTCATTATTATTGGTGTGTGGTTGTGCTGCCAGGGAGGGGAACAAGTCCCTTACTGGCTCTGGTACAAAATAATTTGACTGGTCTTGGGTAGCAAATGACTTTCCTTACAGGAAGGGAAAATATCAGTTGCTAAGAAAAATTTTGATGGAACCAGGCTGTCTCTGTGCTCACATCTGCACCACACATTTAAACCACATGACTGCAGTTTGTCAAGGAATCACTCACTCTGAAATATAGCTATAATGGAGAAAATTATGCGTAACTTGAGATTTCAACCAGGACTAGAACCTCCAGGCACTTTTCATATGCTTTGGCATTCTTTTATGGCATTCTTTTACTGTATCGCGAAACCATTGTTTTAAAGACAACTCATGTCACAAGCCTGGCAAATCTGGAGCAACACTTGATAATCACAGAGCTGCCATATTTCAAAAAGTAAAAAGTAAGATTCAGGACAAGCTGCTGCCTTCCGGAAATTCTCCCCTGACGTCGCTTCCGACTTTGAAATCCCAGTAATGTCCAGGAAAATCCGGTTGTATGGCAGCTCTAATAATCTGATAACGCTGATAGTCTTTACTTGGACTGTAACCCATATGTAACTACACTCACTCTATGTGCATATTTTATAGTTTTGGTTTTTTATTTTACTTTTCATCTGTTCTTATAATTGTTCTCTTTGCTTTATATGGTTGTACAAGTACAACAGGGTTTTGTTTTGTTTTTGCTCAATGAATGAGTAGAGGACCACAGTCAAAGATATTCAAGAATGTTTTCGGAAATATAAATTACCTTACTCTTTAATTTGTTATTTAGCTGGCAGTGAAGTTCCCTGGTTGTTTAATTTAATTTATATTTATTTAAAGCATTTTTATATTGCTCTTAAGGCCAAAACAAAGGATCTCAGTGTGTCTTAAACAGCTATGTCTCCTGCCCTTTCCACCTAAAAATCTATGACACGAAAGGAAGATAATAGTCTATTCACTCAGCTACCATCATCCCTGGCCATTGGCCATGCTTGCTAGGACTGTAAGAGTTGTACTTCAGCAACACCTGGATGGCCAAATGTTCCCCATACCTAGTGTGTACATAGCCATTAATAATAATAATAATAATTACCTGCACTTCACCTTAAGGTCCCAAGGTGGGTTACAAAATGGGTTACAAAATGAAAACACAATTAAAAATAATTTAAAACAACTAAAACACTTATCGGTAGCTGAAATGAAGAGGAGAGGCTCCCAAAGCAGCTTACAAATGTCAGTGGTAAAGCAGTCCCTGCCATTGTGTTTACAATCTAAAAGACATGTCACAAAAGGAAAAAGGGGTGGGAAGGGAGGATGAATGATGGGGAAAGAGCGCAATACATGTCTCTTATTTTCTCTCCTTTGCAGTGCTAACTCCAACTTTGGCCATCCACGTTTACACAGACCGAGAAGTCCATGGCACGGTGGGCTCCAAAGTTACGCTTTCCTGCTCCTTTTGGTCTAGGGAATGGATCTCCGATGACATCTCCATCACTTGGCATTTTCAGCCAGAAAATGGCAGAGACTCTGTTTCGGTAAGCATTTGAAGCATTTATCTAGAGTATTTTTAGCTCATTCATTTTGCTCTTCAGTTTAAGAGGGAGAAGCCCCCTGGAACAGCTTGCAAATATCAGTGGTAGCTTAAAAATGGAAACGGACAAATCTGGTAAGGATCCAAGAAGGAATACAACACAACAATCAATTGGGGGGGGGGGAGAGAGAGAGAGAGAGAGAGAGAGAGAGAGAGAGAGAGAGAGAGAGACAAGTGCCTTTTTATTAATGATTGTTGCAACAAAGTACAAGATAATATTGTCCTGTACATTTTGTTAGGGACTTTAAGAGATAAGCTCTTTCCCCTTATGCCTTTTGATTATATACACCATAAACTCAACAAATTAGATTATTACGGCATTATATACAGTACATGCATATATTCCCATGTTGTGCATTGCTGAACATTTCCAATAAAAATAAAAGGTGGGGAAGGGAGAACCACAATATTGGTGTAAGACTGTTGCTGCCCGTAGATCTACGAAGAAAAAGCGAATGAGAAGGAGGAGGGGAAAAGAGCAAGCCCAGGCACTAGATCCGAAATACAGAATTATTGTAATGGCCGGATGGAATAGGAAGATGAAAAGAGAGGAGCTAAACGTTTGTGGTCTGACAGGGGCCCTGGAATCCCATGTTCCTCTTCCTCCTGTGTCATCATGTTTAGAGATGAGCAAAGCTCTCTTTTTCAGTTTTTCTGTTTCTTATTTTCCCACTCTTAACATACATGCTTGTCCACAATTTCCCCGGCACATTTTTGCACTGCAATTTTCATTAATATATTGCATTTTTGTATGTTAGGTTTAGGACGCGGGTGGCGCTGTGGGTTAAAGCCTCAGCGCCTAGGACTTGCCGATCGAAAGGTCGGCGGTTCGAATCCCCGTGGCGGGGTGCGCTCCCGTTGCTCGGTCCCAGCGCCTGCCAACCTAGCAGTTCGAAAGCACGTCAAAGTGCAAGTAGATAAATAGGGACCGCTTACCAGCGGGAAGGTAAACGGCGTTCCGTGTGCTGCGCTGGCTCGCCAGATGCAGCTTGTCACGCTGGCCACGTGACCCAGAAGTGTCTCCGGACAGCGCTGGTTCCCGGCCTATAGAGTGAGATGGGCACACAACCCTAGAGTCTGGTAAGACTGGCCCGTACGGGCAGGGGTACCTTTACCTTTACCTTATGTTAGGTTTACCAGTACTGCATCTTATGCACAATTTACTGTTCCTCTTATTAATATTATGAATTGCTTCCAATGAAGCACCCTGATGCAATTTATGACGTGTAGTTTGCCATGGGTGCTGAGAGTTGTCAGGAGACACCCCCCCCTCACAGAGCTACAGTTCCCAGTACCCTTAAAAAATGACAGTTCCCAGGATTCTTTTGGAGGCAGGGAGCCATAACTGTTAAATCAGCATCAGAGTGTTTTAAATATATGCTGTAGCTATGACCTAACTGGCAGGGCTTCAGGCTTCAGGAGTCCTTCCCAGCCTTACCTGGAGAGCTGGGACCTTCTGAATGCAAAGCAGCCATTCTACCACTGAGCTGCATCCGTTCCTCAAGGGCACATCCACACCTCCTGACCGTATCTCATCCCACCTTAGATATTCCACTATGCCAAAGGCCAGCCTTACATAGATGACATTGGACGCTTCAAGGAACGCATTGAGTGGATTGGTAACCCTCGCTGGAAAGATGGTTCCATCGTCATCCATAACCTGGATTACATAGACAACGGCACCTATACATGTGATGTCAAGAACCCCCCTGACATCGTGGGGAAGTCGTCTCAGGTCTTGCTCTACGTCTTTGAAAATGGTAAGCTTTCCCTTCCAGGTGAAAGGTCTGCTCATATTGGTATGCAGAGCACAGCTTATGAATCTGGTTAAGAGAGCAGACTTTACCTGCTGCGCTCACACACACAGAGAGATGCTTGTAGGGTAAGAAAACAACACAGCTGCTTATGATAGGAACTACAAAGCTTGGACGCGGGGTGGCGCTGTGGGTAAAAAGCCTCAGCGCCTAGGCTTGCCGATCGAAAGGTCGGCGGTTCGAATCCCCGCGGCGGGGTGCGCTCCCGTCGTTCGGTCCCAGCGCCTGCCAACCTAGCAGTTCGAAAGCACCCCCGGGTGCAAGTAGATAAATAGGGACCGCTTACAAGCGGGAAGGTAAACGGCGTTTCCGTGTGCGGCTCTGGCTCGCCAGAGCCAGCGATGTCACGCTGGCCACGTGACCCGGAAGTGTCTCCGGACAGCGCTGGCCCACGGCCTATAGAGTGAGATGGGCGCACAACCCTAGAGTCTGGCAAGACTAGCCCGTACGGGCAGGGGTACCTTTACCTTTACCTTTACAAAGCTTGGATAGAAAAGTTTCTAGTTCCAAAATGACTAATCTAGAGAATGCAAGGGCAACCATGCTTCCTTTTTCTCTCTCAGATGGTAGATCCAAGGTGACCCCATCATCTTTAAGTCCGAGAGAAGTGTGAGGAGGAAGATGTTGTAAGCAGGATGCAACCTAAGAGGCACCAGTCGTAGCTGGACTACAACTCCCATAATTCCTTACCATGGTGGCTGGGGCTGTTGGGCATTGGAGTACAGCAACATAAGTTTCCCACTTTTAAGTTAGGAGTTGGCCCAGGGGTGGGATAGAGTTAGGGGGCACCCAGGAGAGAGATGAATGCATACAAAAGAGTCTGAATACTTGCTAAGGAATTAAAACACAGTATATGAAGTCAGAAAACTAGAGTTATAAGAACATGGATGCTAGGAATTGAACCTGGGACCTGCTGTCTGCAAAGCAGATGCAAAAGCCCTTCTCCTCAGCAGTTTAGGCAGCAGCAGAAACTTAAGCAAAGACCTTACGCTAAAGACACATTGCTCTGTCTGAAGAGAAAACCCTGCGGCCAGGGCTTTATAGGGCCTGGAGGACAGTGATTGGCTCTTGTGAGGTCAGCTGACTGATGACTCAGGTGACCCCTAGAGAACCAAAGAACTCAGCCCAAGAATGGCCAGGAGGACCAGGTTTGGCCCTGGTGTTTGGAGGCTCCCCATCCCAGGTGCCAGGTGGTGCTTGTGGGCTGGAAGCTCCAGTGCAATGTCTTTTTAATTTTAAACAGCAAAGTTCTCCCTTCTTCTGCTTCGTAGTGCCTACCAGGTATGGTGTTGTGTTGGGAGCTGTCATTGGAGGTGTTCTGCTCGTGGTCTTTGTTGTGTTGGTGATCGCCTATCTCATCCGGTATTGCTGGCTGAGGAGACAAGCCACTCTGCAGCGGAGACTCAGGTAAAGCGCCCAGGAGGATGGACATGTCATAGAAGGGCAGAAACCACGAGTGTCACCCTGGCTACTATATACACACACTCCTTACTTGTTAGATTTTTAAGGGCACGGAGAATGCTTCGTTCAGAGACTTCCCTACACTACAGTGCCAGGAGCTGCAGTCACAGGGATCTATGACATTGTTACGCCCATTTATTTAAATATTTATAGAGCGCATTATATTGCGAGGCAGTAGGCAACCTAAAAGCACATAATGCTACAGTAAAAACAATTTTAAAAGTGAAACATCACAGGGAATCTGGTTTGGCAGAGAATTTCAGGTTCAAAAGTCCTGTCCAAATAGTACAGTTTCCAGAAGATATCTGAGAAAGAGGAGGGATGACTCCTGAACAAATTTCTATTGGTGAGGAGTTCCACAGGGCAAGGTCTGCCACACTAAAATCTTGGGATGGGCGGGGTATAAATAATAAATTTTATTATTATTATTATTGGCCCTTGGTAAAGGCCAGCCAGACCTCAGGGGCATGGGGGACAGCCAAAATTAATAATAATAATAATAATAATAATAATAATAATAATAATAATAATAATAATAATAATTTATTATTTATACCCCGCCATCTGGCTGGGTTTCCCCAGCCACTCTGGCGGCTTTCAACAAAATATTAAAATACAATAATCTTGTTGTTGTTGTTGTTTAGTCGTTTAGAGCAAGACCTCAGCAGTTGAGATTTGAGGGCAGCTGTGTGCCCTCATTCATAGAGGAAGTCTGGCACAAGTCCAGTCTAAACATGAAGTCTGATGCTGCCCATCAACCCTTGAGCAGCAGACTGAGCAAGCAGGCAAGCACACAAGTCACCTAAGCCGCATTTGCACCATACATTTAAACCACTATAATACCACTTAAACAGTCCTGGCTTCCCTCCCAAAATCCTGAGAGCTTTTAGGAGACCCCTTAGGCCCCTTGCAGAGATACAATTCCCAGAATGGTTTACCAATTATTCCCTCTTACCATGGAACTATGGGAATTCTATATCTGCAGGGGGAATAAGGGGTCTGCTAACAACCCCTTAATGAACTACAGCTCCCAGAATTATTTGGGGGAAGCTATGAATGTTAGAAGTGGTGTCATAGTGCTTTATTTGTTTGGTGTGAATGTGGCCCTGGTCACACAGGCTTGCACCTCTCCGGGGAGATGTATTTCTAATTAAAGTAACATTTCTAAAGCTGCATCTATGCATATAAATAAGCATGTGAAAATTTAGGAAAACCTGTGTTCTCCTTTTTCCCCTTTGGCAATGTGTAGCCCTTTCCTCGCTTGCACAGAAACATATCCAATGTGAGGGACCATTCATGCATTCCAGTAAGCACAGAGGGCATGACTTGTTTCTGTTTCCATTTCATTTCAGCGCTATGGAGAAAGGGAAGTTGAGGCTGGGCAAGGATTCTTCAAAAAGAGGCCGTCAGGTGAGTGTGGGGCGAGGGGAAGGAAATGTGTCTGCGGGGGAAATGAGTGGGAGGGATAATATATTACGCTGGTTTAAGAAACCTGTGCCACGACCACACCAAACATTTAAAGGGCATGGCTTCCCCAAAACAATCCTGGGAACCTTAGTTTGTTAAGGGCGCTGGGAATTGTAGTTCCAAGAGGGGTAAGTCCCCAGGTGTTTTTTGTGGGAAGCCATGTGCTTTAAATATATGTTTCAATGTAACACCAATGATCAGAGCGTAATAACCTCATGGATTGGGCCAGTGGCCCATCGAGTCCAGCATCCTGTTCTCACAGCGGCCAACCAGATGCCTGAGGGAAACTCGAAATCAGGACTCAAAAACAAGAACTACCGTATTTTCCGCTCTATAAGACACACTTTTTCCCTCCTAAAAAGTAAGGGGAAACGTGTGTGTGTGTTATGGAGCAAATGCAGGCTGTGCAGCTATCCCAGAAGCCAGAACAGCAAGAGGGATCATTGCTTTCGCTGTGCAGTGATCCCTCTTGCTATTCTGGCTTCTGGGATAGCTGTGCGAAGCCTCTTCAGGGCAGAGGGAGCGTTCCCCCTGCCCTGAAGAGGCTTTGCGTTGCTTTCGCAGAAGCCAGAACAGCAAGAGGGATCGCTGCGCAGCGAAAGCAGCGATCCCTCTTGCTGTTCTGGCTTCTGGGATTCAGAATATTTTTTTCTTGTTTTCCTTCTCCAAAAACTAGGTGTGTCTTATGGTCTGGTGCGTCTAATAGAGCAAAAAATAAGGTATCTCCTGCCCTGCGGCTTCCACATGCAGAAGTATTACTGCCTCTGACAGTGGATGCAGAGCATAGCCCTCTTGGCTAGTAGCCACTGATATCCTCCAGCTGGTTGGCTTCTCAAAGCCACCTGGCCTCTGCAGAAAAGGATGCAGGCCTAGACAAGCAGGCCCACATTTTTTGGCTTCCTGCGTGGTGACAAGACTCTCTTTTCCCTCCCTGTTTCCCCTTTCCCCTTTTCTTCCCTCTGCTCCTGTAGCAACCCGTCCTGTACGCCATGCTGGACCACAGCCGCCTCACCAAGTCGGCAAGCGATAAGAGGTCCAAGAAATAGCGGTTAGCCGGCAGGGAAGGTACCCAGAAGAAGGTGGGCGAGAAGAAGGTCGTCATGACCATCGAGATGGAACTGAAGAGGGACCAACTCGAGGCCGGAGGCCTCAAGCCCGCCGTCAAGTCCCCAAGCAAGAACAGCCTCAAAAACGCCCTCATGAACATCATCAAAAGCGATTCGGAAAAGTGATTGGATACTGAAAAGGTGGCGATGATCCCAGCCCTCCGTCCTGAGGAGAGAGGCCTGGGATAGTCTCCCCTACATCCAACCCTCTTGGTTTTGTATCCCGCCATGTTCTTACACACTTCATTATAGCCCATCTAGTCTGGGGCTGATGGGATTTGGGCATATTCCTGTCCAGTCTCTGTCCCTATTAAGATATTGATGGAGAGCCTTTCGCATCATAGATGTATATCCAAAGCATAGGGAATTTGCACCCACCTAAGTGACTTAACATTATTAATAACTCCTAGGACGTTGTGTGCACATTAAAACCATGAGGCAAACTGAGGCAGGGTGATCCTAGGGAACAAACTATGCCCCCTCCCCATTATGAGGTGCCTCTTCTTCTCTTTTAAGTCTAGAAACAGGCTGGTTCAGCATCTTGGAACACCATCACACCCATGCTTTGCTACTCAGAGTAGACCCACTGAAATTAATGACCCTGGATAAGTTAGGTTCATTCATTTCAACAGATTTACTCTGAGTTGAATACCATGCAGATACTTTTTTTCCTGAGGCACAGGCGACTCTCCTGAGTGACCCAGTCTCGCCACTGTCAACTTCAAGGCCTCCATGCGAAAGCTGTAGATGGACAATAACAGACCAGGCTTATTTTCTGGTTTTCTAATGGGATCCTGGCCTTCTGTTTAGGGTGAATCTTCACCCGGAACTACAGGGCTCAAATTCCCATCAGTCACTAGGCCCGATACGATGCCTTGAGGCCTGGATAGACAGGTGTCCTCCTACTTCTAGTTTTCCTCAAAATCCCCCAAAACATTGGCAAGAAAGACATGCAACCTCCCCAGACAGGGGTACCTTCTACTGCCCAAACGGCTGTGACACAACCCTCTTCCGCTCGGTGTTTTTCGAGCACAGGTGTATTTTTTTTCCTATTCCCCACCCCCTTTTAATCTAAGGATCAAATATATATATATATACACGTGTCTCTGAGATTCAGAAGGATGGTTTAGCTCCCTTCCCCAATTGCAGGTCACCCAACCCCACCATTGTCTGTTCACTTCAGCCCCTGTTTGGCTGAAGTGGTGAAAATGCTATAGGTGAAAATGGCATATAGGTGAAAATGCTAATTTTCCGGAAGGCAAGATAGTATTTTGCTGGTGCTCCATCTCTGCCTAACCTTCGCTCTCTTTTGCCCCAATCCTTGCAAAACCACACCACAGGGGGATTATCAGCGGAATAAGGCACAATGCATTTGCCACAGAATTTCGCTTTAGACACAGTCAGGGGCTCCTGCTTTGAGCGAAGCATCTGAGGAATTTCTGGAGTAGTGAGAAAAACAAAGCACCCCCGAATTTCCTCAGGGAGGGGGTTTCGCCCATCTCCAGGTTGTCCCCAGATTTTGCCCAAAGCTGAATTCTAGGCAAAGGGTGAAGGTTTGAGGGAGGGGGGGGGAACGATGAGGGGTTTTGATAAGAAAAATGCCTCAGGCAGATTCCCACGCATCCTTATGCCGAATCCCCTTCTCCTTCCCTGCCTTTATCATTGATATTCTGGTTCATTCTGCATCTTCACTAATCCCCTTGAGGGGAATTAAGCCATCCTGGAAACAAGCCTTCTCAACAGTGGTTCAACCTTACAGTGTGATCCCCAACCCACAGGAGGGTTGTTATTAGTTATTATTAACCACTGATATATTTCCTTTAGTCTCTCTTTCCTCTTCTCTTTCCCCGGTGACCGAACGCCACATGACGTCACACGGTTAATACCTCTTCATATTGAGGCCTCAGTCTTTCACTTTCTATGTCCTCATTTCTTTTTTATGATGTGTCCTCCTCTGTTTTCAGATTAACTCTTGTTACCCATGACAACATGTTCCGTAACTTAGTAGGCCCAACGGCCACCAAGTGAACAACACACACAAAAAGATCTGGAGGCCAATCTTTCTGCTAGGCCAGGAAAACGCCATACTTGCATTTGGACATATTATTGCATCCTCTGCTATATCATATATGCACATTTCCCCCCCACAATGCTTCAGAATCTTCCTTTTCAGTTGTGAGCAAGGAATCTAACAACACTGGCGTGTGGTAGGGCCTAGCAAATAGATTCGTCTCCATAGATATGTATATAGCCAACCACAAACACACTTTCTGCGTAGAAGTCAACCGCCTTTGTCTTTTGGTTTTCTTGTTTTTAAATGTTATGTAAAATTGTGTATTTCATTTCCTTTTTGGGGGGGTTAGTGGGGCTTTCTCAACTTTGTGTACATTCTCTCAAAATCAGCAGCAACAACCAAAAACGATACATGACACAATTAAAAAAAAAGATGGGAAGTTAATAAAAAGACTGACATTTCTATACAGAGATGGTCTCCTTTCTGTTCTAGGATCCATATCAGCAGCTGAAATGTGTTTAAAGTGGGACCTGAACACAATAACAACTCTCCCTGCTTGCATTTCAGGGATATTCAGCAGCACATTGCTACCTCTGACAGTGGAGGGAGGATATAGCTATTGTGGCTAGTGCTATGCTCCATGAATTTGTTTATTCCCCCTGTTTTAAAGCCCTCTAATCTGACGGCCACCACTATATTTTCTGGGAGCCAATTTCATAGTTCAACTATGCACTGTGTGAAAAAGTTGTTCCTTTTGTCTGTCCTGAATCGTTCAACATTCAGCTCCATTGGTTCTGGCCCAGAGTTCTGGTTTTATGAGAGATGAGTCCCAGTATTAAAGGCAGCAGCTAGCAAGCAGGCTTGAGCCACCCTTAAGTGCTCATCCAATTAGCTCAAACTAGTTAGTTAACACAATTATGGGCGCTGACTTGATTACATTGAAACCCCCAGGAGTGTCCGATTAGCACATCTAAATGCATTTGCTAGGTAGCTTCAATTAGGAGGCAATTAGCAGAAAACAAGCTCCAAGAGAATCGGTTCCAACTAAGGTTGCCAACTGCCTGGGGTGACCGCCTCACTTTGCCTAATGGTAGGGCTGGACCTGTGACTGGCAGTAGCTCTCTAGTGCCCCAGGCCAAGAAAGATCTATCCCATGCAGTTGGGGGTGGGTGGGTTAGGATCGGGAACTATTTTCAGACTGAGGACCACATTCCCTTCCAGGGGTTGCATGCCAGCAGGGGCAGATCCAAAGGCAAATGTGCTGGCATTCATGTCTTGGAAGACAATGGAGTGTGCCTTTAGGTTCAAGATGTTATAGAAAAAAATGAGGCTTGCTTTTACAGCCCAGCTCTCCATCAAGGGACTCAGTATCCCCTAAGTCCATTATCAGTCAGACAAGAACGGATAGAGACAGGATTTCGTGAAAGAAAGGCAGATCTTTATTTTTCTGTTGGATAAGAGCTCCCCACCCCTTGCAAGGAGGTGAGGACCCAGAACAAAGGTGTGCATAACTTTTTAAACTTCAGAAATTGCCCAACCCCTTAGCCAAAGACCACCCTAAAGCATCATGCATATATCACAGAAAGAGACATTTAAGAGAGTGGCTTATCTCCTGTCAAGATACTTGATAATGGTCACAGATTGCATTACTGGGCAGTCTGGGCCATTCTTTTGAAATGTTAATACCTTAGTTTTTGAATCCAGGTCATAGGACTACCCTATTCACACACAAAATATGCCCTTAAAACAGGATTTGTAAGTGAAAAGAACCATTTGGAGAGATTTTTCCAAGATACTTCCTTCTGCAGAAGAAATATTTGGGGTCATTAAGAGTCAAGATGGCTTCAGGATTGCTCTTCTGTCCTATTTCAGGCATGTGGTTTTTGTGTGCACTTCTGAACATTCGTTTTATTTATGGCCCCTTGGAATTACTGTATTATACCATATTCCAGTCATGCTAAATCGTTCAAGATGTGGTGGAGAGCTGGTGAGGGGTGCAATTTAGCAAGAGGGTGTGTGGTCTGGGGCGAGCTGAAAAGGGTTAAGGCTGGAGTCTTCCAACAAAGCAATATTGATCTCTCCACTTAAAAAGTCAGAGTGGTAAAGGGCTATATCAGATGTTGGCTGAAGCCCATCATTGGGACAGCTGTCCCTCCATCTCCCAGCAAATACTGCACTCAGTGTTGCCTGGTAAGCATAATCTTGACACAAGGGCTGGAAAATAGCAGTTAAGCTTGTGTGACTGACCCGCAGCAGATTGTCAAACATTGTATAGGGAAAGGGGCAACAGGCTGAAACAAGACCCAGGAAGAACTGACAGGTGAAAGAAGAGGACTTAAGGGAGGGCTGTCAGAACATTTTGATCATTGACACAAAAACGTAAAGATTTTCTACAGGGGACTGGAAACAGTCGGTGCTGTTCTACACTCTCCTAGCTGCAGTGCAAGCTCTCCACTTAAGAAATGGAAACCCGGGTTGAGTCACTCCTACATCATCACCAACTAGGGGCCTCTCCAATTAGCTCAGGCTAGTTAATGCAATTATGGACACCAACTTGATTACATTGCAACCCCCAAGAGCGTCCTATTAGCACATCTAAATGCGCTTTGCTAGCTGGCTTCAGTCGGAAGGCAGTCACCGGAAAACAAGCTCAGCAAGAAGGGGAGATCCTCTCGCTCCTGGGAGCTGGAACGTTTCCAACCAGAGACACCAACTTCTCTTTTAACAAGCCATGAAGCTATGCATGGGAAAGCTGCCTTATAGCAAGCCAGAGGATTGGTCCTCTCAGCTCAGTATTAGACTTGAATGGCAGCGGTTCTCCAGCATTGCAGACTGAAATCTTTTCCCAGGCCTACATGGAGATGCCGGAGATAGAGCCTGGAACTTTCTGCATGCAGGACAGTTGCTCTTCTGCTGAGTTAGGGTCCTTCTCCTAAAATAAAGTAAGATTCCAGTCTTCATGGTTCCAGATGAACGGCTGATACAAATAAGAATATAGGAAGCTGCCTTATACTGAGTCAGAGCACTGGTCCATCTAGCCTTGCGAGGAATGCTTGAAGGAACTGGGTATGTTTAGCCTGGGAAAGAGGAGACTGAGAGGAGATATGACAGCCATTTACAAATATCTTAAGGGCTGTGTTGTAAACAAAATCTGCCCTTCTACCCTTATGGGGTATCCAAGAGCCCATATAGAGTCCTTACGTAGGTTCCCTATTGGTAGGAGAAAATAACAAGGCCAACCAGAGAATATTGAGAAGCAAAGCAGCTAGTAAGCCTGATCTTTGTTGATCTGTTGCAACAGGGTGCTCCCCTCACATGCAGGAAAGGAGGAGGAACCCAGAACAATGGCGTGCAAGGCTTATATAGACAATTTAAATTCCCTGCCCTGGAACTCAAGACCACCCCCCAGATACATCATACCTACATCACAGAAAAGGTGGTCTAAAACAGATATCTGAGTGACTTGTTTATCTCGTCTGACAGGTTACCTGTTTAATGGTATTAATGGATTGCCTGCTTACTTGATTGGATACCCTGGGGAGCCTGGCTAGTCTTCTGTAATGATAAATACTTAGTAATGATAAATACTTATTTGCTGAGTCAGGTCACAGGCTCACCCTATTCAAACACAGACATACCCTTAAGACAGGATTTGTGAAGGAAAAGACAATGGGGAGGCTTTTTCATTTTCCTTTGCTCAGTTTGGGATCAAAATGGTTTCATTTCAGTTTGGGAATCAAAAATGGTTTCAGGTTGGTCTTCCTGTGCTGATCTATGTACGTGCTTGGTTGGTACACTTATGAACATTTAACATATATCTAAGACCTCAAAATTCCTATCACAGCATGAAAGTTGGAGCAAACTTGTTTTCTCCTGCTCTGGAGGGTAGGAACTCAAGCCAATGGCTTCAAGTTACAAGAGAGGAGACTTCGACTAAACATCAGGAATAACTTTCAGACAGCAAGAGCTGTTCAGCAGTGGAACAGACTTCCTTGGAAGGTGGT